ACATTTAATAACATTAATTCAACTGAAATTAATGCCATTACAAAGGTGAAATAAAATAATAATTTTTTAAATATAATATAATCATACATCTTTAATAAAACAAACATGACTTAGCTATTTAATCATATCCTTGTATGTGAATGCCTCCATCCAACAAATATTCATGATGGTCATGATTATTATACAATACATTTGATGTTATAATTGACATAACAAACAATTGCATCACCCAAGTAGTAATAATACCAAGGCCATGCAAAAACGAAGCTTTTAATAATGCATGTCTACCCAGATCTCTGGGATTCACAATAATAAATTATTTTTCATGATTATAAATTGTGGTTCCTTATGAATAATAAATCTGATGTTGATTGCAGGTGTCAGATTTAATTAAAATTTTCCTGTGACAAACATGCAGTCAGGTGCTTTCACACGCTTCAGTACCATGGAGTTTTCTCCACAGTTGAAGCACCCCACATGTTGGAAGGCTTTGGACAAAACTTTTACTTATCCTCCCCTCAGACCAGGCTTGGCTGTTACCATATGGGAATTGATAACTGATAGTTGGTGCTTGTGTGGTGATTACTTTGTGTTATTGCTGCACTAGCATAAAAGTTGGCACCTGCAACTGGTTGAAAATTCTCCAACTTGGAAGGTTACAACCTGGGTTTTGTTTTGGTTTTTCCCTGGATTCCGAGTTTTGAGTCCTGGGTTGCTGTCTTGCACTCACCAACAACCCTATCCCCATTCAAAAAACAAATTAAAGAAAAACAGAAATATGAAAATGATTATATAAAACATTATTTTACAACTTTCCTCTTATCATCAGAGCTCAAATGTGATTTCAGGGCCACAAACCCTGCTCTGAATTGCGACTTCCTGTGCTTGAAACAAGTTGCAGATTCTTGTTGCTTTGATGTTTACAATTCATCAGCAGAGTTGCAACTTGGTCACAGAGCCATCCTTCCCTAGAGGTAGGATCGTTGCAGGCAACTTTTCGGCCAGCATGGCAGCAGCCATCTCTGGTCTGGGAAGATTAGTGAAAGCGTCATTGACAATTGATACAGTCTTGGTAAACTTCCAGGGCCAAACAACTCTCCCCTGGAATTCAGTTGCATATCATATCATCGAGAGTGACTTGGTCAGATTAGCCTTATGTACATGAGGAATGTGTAAGAATGACTGTATTCGCGTGCTTCAACATCTGCCAATTTTCCTGTAATCAAATGTCACATACTTGAAATGTTTCTTTTTCAACGGTGTGCTGCCTTGACATCTTCTTGTAATTATATATTTAATATTAATGTTATTATTATTGATCACGCAAAGCAAAATATTATCAATGAAAATCTTGTAATTACCCTAGCAATGATCTGCTCCGCGTTTTGATTTTCAATTAAAATGTTTATAATAACCAAAAAAGACAATACAAATAAAAAAAAGTACCTCTATTATTAACACTTTTTCTTTAGAGACACAAACCAAACCATAAGCCAAACTACAACACTCACCTTGAACTCTGTCAAAAATAAATTGTTTTTCCAAAAGAAAAGAAAAAAAAAAAATTCAATTCGCGTCTGTCCTACCAAAAAAATAACCAATAGGATAAATAATTAATGTACACGTTTGTCAAACTTCTTTAAAAAAAAAATGTCGTCAAGCAATAAAAGAAAAAGAAGCAATAACATCGATTACAATAATAATATAGTTCAAGGGTAAGTGTTTTAAGAATGGTGGTGGTGGTTATCGCCCGCCATCACTCGTCGTCACTCTAGTTATCAAGTATTAATAATGATCTATTTCATACTTTTTAGAAATGTAAAAAAACAAGCATCATCCACTTCTGTAACTTCTATAAATATTTACATTTTTTCAAATGAATAAAACAGATTTTATTTCGTTTTTAATGAAATTTAAAGCTAATATAATCAATTTTCCATCTAGAACAACTTAATAAAAATCAGAGATAATACCGTTGAAAATATCGCGTACCTTCAAAATGTTAACGAATTTAATATAGCTGCAATCGACAAAAGGATCATTAATAACCTTGACAGTTCCATACTTTTGGTTTGAAGATAACAATAATGTTGGCGTTAGTAACAGCAATGATAATAATCTGGAAGATGGTAAATAACCTAATCAAACAAAGATGTAATTAGTCAATATATTTACGAAAATTGTAAATAATGCTAAAATCAAATCAATTACAAGAACCAGAAATTAATAGAGAAGTAATCGATAATGTTGATGAAGTTAATGGAATTGCTGGTGGTGATGATATAATCCATGACAATATTTCTATCGAGGTAATAGAAAAATAGCAAAATTTTTCATATATTATTGACTCACATTTTTGCATTTTACTCTCTTGAAAGGCAGAAGAAACAAATAACAATCAATCAGGTTTGTGCTATTTCAAGATCATAATAATAAGTCAAGGCCCATTCTCTTAAAAACTTATATTTCTTTTAATTAATAATGAAATAACTAGAAAATAGAACTAGAAGATCATATCGGTATAAGCCAGGAACAGTGGCCTTACGTGAAATAAGACATTACCAAAAAACCACCAATAGATTAATTCGCATGTTACCTTTTCAACTACTTGTAAAGGAAATAGCTCAAAGTATTAGACCGGATATTCATTTCCAATCTATTGCAATTAGTGCAGTAGGTAACAATATATATATATTGTTACCTACTTATGTTAGACTGTTACCTACCTATGTGGCCTAATTTGATTTTTTGGCCCCCTTCGAAAGCGGCCAATTTTTGTTTTTTGGCCACCTTCGAGAGCGGCCATTTTTCATTTTTAGGCCGCATTTTTGTCTTATTTTAGTTCGATTTTTTATTTACACATCAGATAACGTCTACAGACGTTATGGACTGCTTAATTATCTAACTATCTTTTTTAGCCGTTTTATTGTCTTCAAAGCTTAAAAAGCTATGCGATCTAAAAAATCTAACCAAAATGCGGCCAATTTTTAATTTTTGGCCACCCAGATGGAATCGTGAAATCGGCTACATTCGAGTGCGGCCATTTTTTATTTTTTGGCCGCCTAGATGGGATCGTGAAATTGGCTACATTCGAGTGTGGTGTATTTTGCGTTTTTGGCCGCATTTATGTAATCATTTAGGTATTAAATCGGATGTTAAATCTGATATTTAATCGGACGGTAAAAAAATATGTATTCATACCCTGCATTCAGGTTCCAATATGTAACAAACGTGTCAATCATGAACCATGGTTTGCGATCAACTTTATGTAGCACTTTAAGAAAAGCAATCTCGAAGATGGGATATGACTCGATTTCGTCGTCATAAAATAGACTATTTTGTGGTCAATGATGCATTGATCGTATTCTACATTTTCAGACTCCGCCATGTAGCATTCGCGTCCATCGTCAACACGTGTTGACGGTCATCTATAAGTATCACTCCAGGAAAATACTTATTTTGGCTTTTATGATGAATTCGATTGCTACATTGTGGAGTCTGATTTTTATGTATACTTTTAGTGATCGTTATGAACGTCAATAACGATGGACTTTTTGAGTATCATTTTTCCATGTCAAAAAATTGATTAAAAAACTAAAATTCTAGATGCATTCGAATACCAATCGAGGATGAGGCAAAAAGTGCCGAATTGTTATCTCACTTGGTAGTACGCCAAAGCATAATTTCTATAATATATATTTCTATAATAATTATACCTTGACGTACTACCGATTCGAAAATTTTATTCTTACTTTGGCGTACTACCGAATCAAAAAATTCCTGTAAAAAATCGGATCATACTTTGGCGTACTACTGAATCAAAAAATTGGATCATACTTTTACGTATTACTTTGGATCATACTTTTGAGTAATAAATTTCGATTTGAATTTTTTTCCGCACTTATTGTAAGAGACAACAAAATTCCCCTTACCTGAGATAAATGATTAGTTGAATGTAAAATATACCCCCTGCCAGAGGTACGCATTGAATTAATCGGTAAATTTTGAGTTAGTATCGGTAATAGGTATCGAATCAAAGAGTTCTTGAATTTCATTGACTGATTCTGGTTTATATGGCGGAAGAATCAGAGCTCTCGCTTCATTAAAACCAGTTTCACTGTATGGTTTGCGGTCAATCCAATAAATTTGTTTCCATACTTGTTGACCCTTAGGTCCTTCTCTTTTTCGTTTACTCTTAATAGCATAACCGCACCAATTACCCACTACCGCATTGATGAATTTTATTGTAGCATTGAGATCAGGTGTTCCTTTGGCCCGAGATTTAAATCCGAAGAGTAATAATGCATCTTGTCGAATTTTAATGATTTTTTCCTGCAATTCTTCGAATGATTTTGCCACATCATCGCCTGAGAGAATGCGCTCATCATCTATGCCGGTAAAACCCAATGATTGGAAAAGGTTATGAACGGCTTCCCATTGTTTTACTGAATAATATTTATGCAAATCGTTTGAGGCCGGATCCAAAGAATCTTGTGATTCCTCCCATTGTATGGTTTCTTTGAATTTTAAATTTTCCAAGCTTTTATCGCATTAGAACCTTGTCTTCGGAAATAGGCAAGTCTTCTAAAATGTTGTAAAGGTTCGGAATTGTTGAATATTTTTACAAAATCTATATCACAGAGTTTAACCCAATCAGCATTATCCATGCCCCAATCTCGAGAATCATTCTTACCTCCTATGTCACCTGAAGCATAAATTTTCCATAAATAATGCCATTGTAGAATCATATTATCAGTAAAAGAACGTGTAGGAATCTGCTTAAGTAATTCAGCTTTACTGGGATCAATATCTGTGGAATTGGCTATTAATTCCGCTTCAGCAACTTCGATTTTTTTTGCAGTTCCTTTAATATCATTAGATACATTTATACGATCAGCCTTAGCCAAGTTGGAATTTTCTACTGAAACTAGATCAAGAGATGCTCCAGTACTGGCGATAAGACTGCAAAGAATTTCGGGAAAATATTTGGCTGATAAGCGTCTCTGATATTCGACCTCAATATAAGTTTCTGCTGCTGGTGACGAGTCAAGAGTATAACAACCAGCAATTTTGTCCCATTCACGATGACCTTTTATAGCAGTTGGCGAGTCTCCAGGTCTCAAGGCAGAAAGTTCAGCACGAATGAGATCACAATTCGGTTCTTTGAAAATGCCAGATTTTTTACTATTATAAAGAGAAACTATACGCGATGGACAGTCATGAACTCTGTAAAGCATTTGTGCAAAAGCTTCAACGTGAACTCCTGTATTGATATTACTAATTGCTATTATTGCATCGAAATGATTAGGAATTTCAAAGGAGATACCAGCTTCCACAGTGCTTGTATAAATTATGCAATCAAGACCACTCCAGGTAGCATTAATATCAGCAAAATCCTCTTGACGTTGTTTTCCATCCATTTGACCAAAATAAACACGTGTCAAGATAGGTGAACCATCTGGTTTTCGTAACTTGTAGGTTTGAAGTGCCAAAGCTCGAGCCTTTTTGCATGAAGTCATAGAAAAGACAACACGCTTACCTTCTTGAAGCATCCAAAGACCTTTACACATAGCCTCTGATCCTTTGTCTGGGTCATAAAGAATTTTTACAGATTCACCTTTACGTGTCTGATACTTGTTATCAAAAATTCGTATATCTCTACCTCGATATTGTCTTAAGAAGGTTAAAGTTGATTCATTCGCAAAAGCATCCATAGCCACAACGTGAACAGCAAACTTCAACAAATCACACATAGCATTTTCTGATTCTCGGGCATGGATCCCACTGGACATTTGACGCATGATAGCGTTCGCTTCATCTAAGATAACTACATAAGAACGACCTCCATAAAGAGAAAGACGATGTGTACTTTCGACCTGGACGATGATAACATCCCAGTCGTGTATAGCTAAATCACCGCCATTTTCCTAATAATGGCACATGCGAAGTCCTGAATTTTGTAATATTTCAACTTTAGCTTTAGTCTCATTGCTAAGAGTTTTACGATATGAAATCCAGTTAAAGCAAGGTAAATTCGCTTCGCTTTTGGCTAAAGAATTAAGAATCTCTCTTAAAGTTTTTGTTTTCCCTGTAGCAACGGGTGAACGAATTAAGGTTGTAGTGGGTTCCTCACTCGAGAAATCCAGATAAGCTTCTGGTGCATCTTCCATCTTTTAACATTAATATCTTTCCCGGATAAATCTACAAGTGGACGTGGATGCTTTATGATATTGACTATTCTTTCACTTAACCCCCATTTAGGTCTTGGTAGATTATTAGTTACTTCGCCAAATACTAATCCCTTGTGAGCTGGTTTATATTGTTTTTGCCGAAAACATTTGAGTATAAAACGCCCGTCTTTTAGAAGAAACCTGTGTAATTGATTTTTTTCATGTATAACTTCGCAAATAGGACATTCTTTAGATGATTGCGCTTGAAAGTTAATTAACCCTTTTCCGATTTTTCCGATCCCAAGCCATTCATATTTTTCAGTAACCAAATTAGCACCTTTAACCAGTGCATTTTCATCTTCAATAGGCTGGAATTTATCGGCTGGCTTCTCAGAAGAAAAGGTTTGTGGCCAGATCACAAAATTATCCGATTTTGGTTGAACTAAATAATCTTCTAGCTCGTGAAATCCATTCTTGAATGAAGATAATGCCAGTTTTTTTATTCTTTTTTCTTTTGCTGATCCAAGAAGGCGAAGACTAAAACGTGACTTGGGAAGGCCAACATCTATAAACTTCGAGTAAGGTTTCCCTACCAATTCAATGACTTTTTCTGTAAAGCCTTTGAGATCTCTATAGTCAATAAATCGCCCATAAGGGTAAATAATATGCCAGCTACATCTATCAATATTTGATGAACTAGCTAGAGAAAAAGACTTTAAGATCGGCATACATTCTGGTATAAGATTTAATGCATCTGCACAAGCAATTAAAATTCGAGACATCAAATCATCACGAGTAATTTTTTCGCCATCTAAAGAAGGAAGTTTCAGATTTGCAGGATCCGGTTTTTGTCTTGCATCAATATCTAATATAGGACGAAGGGGCTTGTTCCCATTAATACATTCATGTGCATCCGGTATTTTATAAATTTCAGAAGGATGATCTATTACTGTAAAGCCTTTTCCTGCGACCCGAATTATATATCGTGAATTAATCTCTTCTGGATAATGTACATCCAAGAGTGCTATATTCTTTGCGTCATCTTCCGAATCATCTTCTGAAGTAAGTCCACTCTGTCCATTAGACGGAAGTAAATATTTAAAATACATATGTTCTCCTCTATAACCAGTTTCATACTCAAGTTCCGTTAAACCTGCGAAAAGACTTTTTGCCTCACCGACTTCAGCCAATTTTTGACTTTGCCCCTGTTGTTGTAATGATTCATATAGACGTTTTTTTTCCTCGCTAGACAGACCCATTTTATTACTTGATCAGTTCGTATGAATAATGATACAAAAAGTTCAATTCAAAAAGTATACAAAATTGAAAGTTATTACCGCTATTAGTAATGGGATTTTATTCTTGACCGTATACTTACATGAATGGACGTGTTTGTAGAAAATGCTCTAAAATTCTTTTTTGTATAGTGACATCTATGAATGAAGGGCAGGTAATTAATTTTGATTTGAAAAAATAATAGGTAATAAATATATCGCAATCTACTTATCGATATACGTATTATCATGAACACTGCTTCAAAAACCCGAAAGCCCCAAATTAATAACTTTACATCGATTTTGGATCAGGTCCTAAAAAAATACAACTTGACTATCGAATCCAATCCATCTCAATTATGCGACTATGCTAGCGAACTCAGTGTTATGTTACCAGACTGGAAGGCTCGAAAAAG